TGCTTCTCAAGTGTTGAGATTAAAGTTGTGCACCACCACAGCTCAGCTGATAATTTAAAAAAGATACTAGGCAGTATACTGTTACTTTGGTTTTTCAAGAGTTGAGTCTAAATCTTAGATGAGTGTATAAGAGCAAGATTGTTAAACATACACAAATTTGACAATGAAAAATATAAAAATGTCATAATGAGGCCCATTATTATATATATTAATATGAGAATGAAATATGAAACAAAGAGGATTAGCAACTGAGTATAGTAGATCCTGTCTGTAATCCCACACTTAGGAGGCTAGGTCGGGAAGACTGAAAGTTTGAGGCTTAACAAAAGAGCACCAGGTGTGCCTTAGCAGTCACACAGGCCAGAAGATGATTCACCAGAGTCTTCTAAAAACTGTCACCTTTTCAAATCACATGTAATTAAGTCATGCTCAGGAGTGAGATGAAAATAATGACATTTACAAATACAGAAAGGCTAAGAAAGTTTAGGCCTCACAGATCTATACACAAAGACATATTAAAGAAGCCAGAAAGGATACTGGGGAAATAGTCCAGTGGTTAAGGCACTTACCATGCAATCAAGAAGCCCAGAGTTCAGACACACACACACACACACATGCACACTCACACACACACACACACATACACAAAGAAAAGAGACAAAGAAGAAGCCAATTAAAATTTTTTTAAAAACTGGAAAATTTTATATATTCTCTGTTATAATGAGTCAAAGGGAAATAATAGTAAAAAATATAATATACTTTGTACTGAGATAATGTATATACAACATACTGAAACTTACAGAATATAAAGAAGTAAGTATAAATGTACATATAGTCTTGCCTTGAAAAAAATACTTGTTAAAACTGAGGTCTGGAGACATGCCTGGTAGTTAAAGGCACTTGCTGCTCTTCCAGAGAAGGACATGAGTTCAGTTCCCAGCATCCAATTGGGTGGGGCACAAACGTATAACTTCATCATCAGGGGATCTGACCCCTTCTAGATTCTGTGGCCACCCACACACGCATGCATATACATCCATACAGACTCATACACGTAAAGACAAATATTTTTTAATAATTATAAAACTTAAGGATTCACATGGAGATAAGTATAAATGATCAGTGACGTTTTCTGAGGAATTGAAGGAAACAAGTCAAAAGAAATTAATGAAACAATAAATAGTATGAAAGATGAATTCCACATGCTGGTTTGTTTAAAAATTAATTTTATCTAGGCCAGCCTGGTCTACAGGCTAGTTGTAGGACAGCCAGGGCTACATAAAGAAACCTATCTTGAAAAAATAAATAGATAAAAAAATAGTTTTAAAATTTGTACAACTAACAGACCTTTAGCATGATTTATCAGGTATATAGGGAAAATGAAGTAAATAAAAATAATATTTATTCCCCAAACCCAAGATATATGGCCCTTTATACTTCTCACTGTGTTGGAGTGATGATTAAAAAAAAATACTGTGGGTGACCTTAGATCACCCAGTATAGCAATTGCAGTACAATGTGAAATGGCAAAAATATAGAAATATATAAACAAGAATCAACTCAGGAAGATACAGATAGCCTACACCCAATCAAGAAACTGAACTAATAACCAGGAAGCCTTTCCCTTTCTTTCCCCTTCCAGGAGTTTCCAAGACCTACATGGTTTACAAAGAGTAAACTGTCCATCATACCTACCTACATAAGTTACCTGACAGAGCCTGTTTCTAAACCAGGAAGAGAGCAGCTGAGTCACTCACTGCATGAGACTCAGCAAGCCTGCACATGGAGTGCCCCCAGCATATTTTTAAGAGGGAAATGGCACAGTGAACACAGGCGAAAACATGCTAAAAGAATAATTTCATAAGGCATGTGCATAGTCTGACTCTTTACCTAACAAAGTGAAGGGAGCACTTCCCTGTGCACAGCCTTGTTTTCCATCTCCAGTGCTGCCACAGGAGGGTGGGGAGGTGGTTGATTGAGTTGATGACATAAAAAACCTAAGTCCCCATCAGCAAAGATCTTTTAGGAAACCGAATTAAAAGGGATATGGGATTTCCTTGATTTGATGAAGGGAAGATAATGAAAACCTTGAGGGAGCTTCATGTTTAATGGTGAAACTCAGAAGCTTTTCCATTACAATAAGAAGGAGCAGTATTGGTGAAATTATTAAGGCCAGTCCACGTAGTTGAAAGGATATTTATTTAATGGCGTAACTTACAAATTAAGGGATAGGTAGGCCTTTGGAAATTGTCCCACGCGAGCGCCAGATATTGGTGAAATTATTAAGGCCACTCCACATAGTTAAAAGGAGATTTATTTAAAGGCGTAACTTACAAATTAAGGGATAGGTAGGTTGTGGGGTCTGAGGAAGGTGTATCACAGTCCAGCAGTGTTCTCTGGAGCTCTGCTCGGTCCACCATTCAGGGTTGTGGAACAGAGAGAGCACTGGCCCATCCATATCTCGGGTCTCCAGGTGCCTCCCTTGGCCCGCCTTGTAGGTGTGACAGTTGCCGAAGTCTCAATGGGGGTTGGAACTTCCAGATCAAAGCTGGAATGGCTACCCACTACAGAGCAGCCTGTGTTGACTGCTCCTATTAAACAGGATGCTAGTGTTTAGGCCCTGGAATAACAATAAATTGGGAGGTTCAGCCAATGTAAGGTGCTAATGGGAATAAACTGTTTTTATGAGGAATATGGGGGTGTCTTTGGCTGTGCTCGTGGGACTGCAGTGTTTAGTGCAGACTTAGATTTGGAAAGGTCAGGTCGGTTGTGGTTGATGGCCTCTGTCTCACTTAGCCTCCTCTTATTTAGCACCAGTAGACACACTGTTCTAGAGTGCTGGGAATACTTCTCATTTAGCAATTATGTTCAAAGATTGTACAACTAAGCTGACAAAATTATTCTAACCACCCCAAAGTGGCTTTATTGGTTTTCAAATTTGGGGAAGAAAATAAAACTATCCTACTCCAGTTCACTGTTCAAGCTAGCAAGTGTTGTAACTGCTGTTTTAGCAAAAGTGGAATGAAGTGAAGTGGTCCAAGTTAGAAAACAGATGGGAGAATTTTTTACCATAGTAAGATCTCTTAAATTTGTATTCTAATTTAGGGTGCCTTAGTCTAAATTTAAATCCGTTCAGATTTTGGATCTCTTCCCAAGGCTTTAAAGTACAGACTGTTCTGCCAGATTGAATCATAGCTTTTAGTCCAGGCAACACTGAGAGATTTAGTATCAGTCATTATTTACTGGTAACCCAGGCAAAGTCCAAGCATGTGCTGTTCTGTGTGACTTGCTGCCTCTTTCCTCTGCATGGTCTGACTTTACAATTATTTTCACATTTTCTGATTATCTTTCCTGTTCTCCTGGGAAGCCAAGATACTCTTCTGTAGAATAGGTTGAAAATGAGTAGAGAAATGAGAATCACAGAGAGTCTGGGGATTTGGTTAGGAACAACATTAGAGTTGTGTCGTTTTTGTATCATTTTCACATTGTTTCTTTAGTTTAAGTATTTGGGGTTTGCTCTTAGATTCTCCTTCACTGTTCCGAGCATTCTTTTGTAGCCTGTAGTATTCTACCATGTGTATCCTACAGCTGTTGTTTTTCACTCTCAGCTTTTTGATGATATTAAAGGCTAATATTAAGGCAGATGCTTCCTGGTTGCTGTTACTACGGAGATGGTGTCTGCCTCAATTTGGGTTCATAGTGTCAACCTGATAGTATGGGGCAGGTGGACATTTTGCTGACCAGCAGGTGATTGTGGGGGTTGGAGGCTGATGAAGGATGGCTATTTCTCATGACAAAATAAGTCATTCTGTGGACATGAGTGTACAGGGTAAAACTGGCACCAGCAGATGGTGGGTCTAAGCAGTGCCTGGTTTGTATCCCAGCTATGAGGTTTTCTGTGGCTGTCTTTTCATAGTTGACAGCAGGGACTGTCCAGTAACTGCCAGTACCCACTGCCTTTTGTAGTGGACTTGTTGGCTTTTTTAGAATCTATTCAGATACACTTTCATGTATGGTTTCATGTTTGTTTCGTGGTAAAACAAGATATTCAAAAGCAAAATCCATTCTTGAGGTTCACTTGGTGGTAAAACATGTTAATCAAATACAATCAGATCCCTTTCCCCCAGTTCTCTACTCTCTCTGTAATTCTCTAGTATGTTAAACTTTTTCCTATTATTGCCATTTCCTCATTAAATACTGAAAGTTCTTCTGACTTATGATGAAAAAAATTCTGATTGAGAATCCAACACAGAATATGGAGCTATGTAACTGTAAACAGGCCTGCTGCTTTTTACTTTCCTTTGTTATATAATTTATGTAAGGATCTATTCCAATATTTTATTTTTTGAGACAGCGTCTTAGTAGACTAGAATGCCCCAGAACTCACTATATGACTGAAGCTGGACTTGAACTCCTGATCGTCATTCCTTTCCCTCCCAAGAGGTTTAGAAATGTTCTTTAGAATTGAAGAGGAAAGAGAGGTAGAAAGTACAGTTATTATTGCATATAGAGCAGAGTAAAAACCTCGGGGATGCTGGAGGAATCAATCCATATGCCTTGGAACACCAGATTGTACATGAAAAGGAAATGACCATTTCCTCGATCTTGTGGAAACATTGTTGTGACACCTATTTCAGGTTTCTCAACACAGTCCCAGGGCTGACTTTGATTTTGCCTAATTTTGGTGTGTTCCCATCTCTGAAGCAATAATTCCCTGTAACTTACTAACCAGGCCTCAGGTAGGTTTAGATTGGTTGGTTTGTATGTTTTTCTCCTCTGGAGCTTATGGATGGGATTAGCTCTCCTTCAGATGGATGCAGAATAGAAGAGCAAGACCAGGGTGTAAACCCCAAAAGAAGAAAGGGGTGCTGAGCAGATAAAGAATTAATGCCAACTCTCTCCTCAAATCTGCTTGATAGGAACGGGCTGTCCTTCACTAGGAAAGTCTGGTAGTTGAGGTACGTGGCCTGATGCCCCTGCTTGTCCTTGTTTTCCTGTAGGTACCTGTTTCCCAAGTTCACACTGTGCTGGACCGAGTTTGTAGACATGAAAGTCCATGTGCCCTGTGAAACGGTTGACTACATTGAAGCCAACTATGGTAAGACCTGGACGATTCCTGTCAAGACATGGGACTGGAAGAGCTCACCCCCAAATGTGCAGCCCAATGGAGTCTGGCCTATTTCTGAGTGGGATGAGGTTATCCAGCTGTACTGAGAATACAAAGTTATGGAGGGACATTTCCCAAAAAGAAGGCGGGTAGCTGTTTAAAACATGTGAGAGCCAAAGAAGACAAATGAAAAGTTTGAAGACAGAAATGTTCTAACTCGTGGGCTGTCTAATCAGCTCTGCCATTCAGCATTTACTGAGGCGTTTCTACACCAGGTAAAACACTAGGTTCTGGTGGTCAGGCAGAGATGAATGAGCAAATGCCTGCCTCCCCCTTGTCATGTCCAATTTTCTGTTAAGGGAGTCTCCCCCACCTTCTGAAGAGCTGATGTACATTGTGATGTATTCCATGATTCTTAAAACATTAAATAATGTTTATACTGGAAAGTGAGCTCATCAGACAAAGCTAAGGAAGGGTACATTCGTTAGGAATAATTCCTCCTGCCAGCCCTCAGGACTTAAGCTGCTATGATAGTGCCCCTTTTCAGATGGTGGAATATGAGTTAGTATTTTATGAGTGATTAGACTTTGTGTCACCCTAACTGCCTTTCTTCCTCCTACAGTGCTATGTACCCCAGCAACTTTATCCTTCCCTTGTGGTCCCAGCTCATGGTGGCTCCTAAAGCCATCCCCATAGACTTTATCAGGGCCTAGGAGAAGACCCCACCTGGACCATCTACAGGCTCTCAGAGCCACCTTGACATTACAGAGAAAGCAGGACCAGCTGGGTGCTGGTGGTAGTGTAGAAAGACCAGGTAGTTTGGCCATAGGGGTAGAATAAGACCTCCACTGGGTATCAGAGATCTTACATAGTAAAAAGGGGTTGGGGGTGCGCTATTAGGTCAGAATGGGGAGAACATGACTGCCACCCATGTCCGGACCATCCAGCATGCTGGGCAGGGAGTCTATCTCAGCATCCAGGCTTCTGGGGTGAATGACCCCTGCTTTCTTTTGGTGGGGGGAGGCTGGGTACAGAACCAGAGAAAAGAGAAATAATACAGCTTGCAACCCCTGGGTGCCTCTCACCTCTGCTCTGAGAGAGAGACCCCATACGTCCCATCCTCTACCTCAATTCTCACATAACTTCTTATAGTGATGGTACAATTAGTTACTCTGCCCAATATTAAGTTTTACATAGAAAATTGTTAGTAAGAAGGAAAAAGGCAAAAAGAAAAAATTGTAAAAGTATACAGTACATTTAATTTATACTATATGATTGTTATGAGCACACTTAAAATTCAGGTATTTAAGTCCCACCTTAACTTTCAGTATGCACAATATTATGGGATGTGGAAACAGAACCTTTTAATAGGCAATTCAGGTACAATGGAGTTCGTATGTGTAAATCCTAATCCTAATCATTGTAAGAGAGAGTGGGACAAGAATGACTCATAAGGAGAGTACTGCGTGTGGACAGGAAGAGGGTGTCTGTCTACAAGCCTGGAAGAGGAACCTACAGAAGGAATTAACTTGCCAACACCTTAATTTGGATTTCCAGCTTCAGAACACAGGAAATATCTACTGTTTAAGTCACCTAGTCAGTGTGGTCCTTTATCAGGATCCTCACACTCTAATGCTGGAATCGAGACATTAGTGTTTGCGAAGGATGGACACTGACCATCCATGCAAAGCAAAACAACCCACATGAATGTGCTAAAGCTATCCTATGAAGGCAAGATGGCTTCTTCAGCAGATGGAAACCTAGCAGCAATAAGACTAGTTGTTAGAGTGTTATTTTGATAAATGTAATATGAGACATCTACAATGTACACATAGACACAGACACAGACACAGACACAGACACACACACACACACACACACACACACACACACACACACACAGAGCTAGGGAGCGTGCATGAGGGAGGCCCTGGGCCCAATCTCCAGTAAGGAGGGAAAAAAAATAGCAAAAAAAACCAACCCCAAAACCTTTGCAAGGTTGTAACGTATAGTATAAAAGAACGAAGCAGAAACAAGCGAGGGCTGAGGCAATAGCTCAGTGTGTAAGTGCTTGTGCTCCTAGGATGAGAGCTCCAGTTTGGATCCAAGGAGCAGCACAAAGCTGGGAAAGGCTAGCACTGGGAGCTGGAGCAGAGACAGGTGGGTCCTAGGAACTTGTGAGCCAGCCAGGCTAGTCAGTCAGCTTTAGGCTCAGTAAGAGATCTTGTCTTTAAAAATAAGAGAGAGATTGATATTAAGGGATATAAAGAATAGGAGACCATGGTAAATGAAGACCACATGTGAAAAGGAAGAAACAAAGTGCTAAAGAGGCCCACAGAAATCCACAAAGATACCCCCACAAAAGACTGCTGGCAATGGTCGAGAGACAGCCAGGACTGATCTACTCTGGTGATGGGATGGCCAAACACCCTAATAGTTGTGCCAGAAACCCCATCCAAGGACTGAGGAATCTGGATGCAGACATCCACGGCTAGGCCCTAGGTGGAGCGCTGGGAGTCTAATTAGAAAGAGGAAGGTTTATATGAGC